AATCTGCCCAACACTTTTATGCCTGATTTTCTGATCCCATCTGCTCCTAGCTGCATGCAAATTTGTTACAGGATGTTATCTTGGAAAGGATTTATCATAACTTGGCTTGTTTCTTCAGCAAACACTAATGAAGAACCTATTTTTCTCTATAATTGTAATGGTTAGCCATTACCATATATAGTCTTCTTAATTGTGAAACTGAACAGATATTGGCATAGAACAAGATGCACAAGTGATAATCACTTGAAGGCTTGAGACATATCTGTCCAGTATGGCAGTAAAACATCTTTTCTTTTGATACATCCAACTAGTCTCTTCTTTTTAAGTATTTGGCAGCATAACCTTTGCTGTGAAATGACCCGGAACTAATTTATTGCAGTTTCTGACATTTTGCTCTGGAGAGATGAAAGGAAAACGTTTACATGCTTTCTTGCTCTGGCTCTGGTGTTTTAGTGGTTCTTTCTCTGTGGAAGAACTTTTATCTCATCCATGGCCAGTCTTCTGCTATGGGTTGCAATAGTGCTTTGTGGATATGGCATTATACCGTTGGAGATGTAAGTTTTCATTTTATAAATACCTTGAATGTTTGATGGAATTTTCGTTTGACCTTCCAAGACCCTTTCCTCCTTATTGTCTGTTCCTTTCTTTGTCTCTCTAATTAGTTCTATGTGGAATCACAAGCAGCTGCTTGGTTTTTGTATCTTATAGTTTCAACTTTTACTTTTGTGGGTTCAATTTTTGTTCTGTCTTGTTCTATTGGTCAGTATTTCTTGTCATGCTTCTGTCTTTCCCCAACTTTCTAAAGATAAAGGGTCTACTAATTATGATTACATTGCAACAGATTGGATTTAATCTGGAGGATACGCTTGCCTACTGTTGAAATCTCACAAACAGTCATGAGAGATTCAATTAGATCCATAGCTTATGAATGGAATAGAGGGGCTCGTACTATAAGGTCATTGGCCAAGGGAGAGAACTGGAATACTGTTTTCAAGTTATGGATTATGACAGACTCAGTAAATTGTTCACAACAATTATACCTTTAAGTGATATCATGTTTCATGCAGTCCACCTGCCCCTTGTGTACAGTGACTGATTGTGAGTACCAGTTCTAAAACATGTAAAATAGGAAATCTCCTATCCAAAAACTCATTATTGCCAATTCTCTTAATTCTGATGTTCACGGCCTTGGAAAAAAAATCTGATGTTTGACAACATAGAAATTAGTGGCACATAAATGTCTTGGTTAACAAACCCCTTTGGTAGTTATCCCAGCATAACTTGGATAATTTATTTGTATTGTTGAGCTTTAGATGTCTAGGCATGTTCCTTGCATTTTTCGGTTTGTTGGGCATATTTCAGCTGGTATTTGACAAATGACAAGTTTCTTGCATGAGCTGTGAAGTCTGGTAGCACGTTTCTTACTTTTTATTTATTTATTTAGGTTGCAGGTTCTCTTTACGCTGTCAAGTTCCTGTTGTCTTACTCGGTGACTGTTCTGGCCGGCATGAGTAAGCAACTATTTATTTTACTGATTATGTAACCGTTCTATTTCATTTTTCATCGTTTCTATCCTATGTATTGGCTTTGTTCGAAAATGCTGCAGTTCTGGTGTTTGCTTTCACTGCATTCTTCATTTATGAGCAATATGAATTCGAAATCGATGGATTGGCAAAATTTCCCTTCAACAGTATTATGGAATCAAAAGCATTGTTGGCAAGGAACCTACCAGCTTCCGTAGCTTCATATCTTCATAACTTCGCAACTCCGCACCAGCCGAAGACTCTCACCGTGCCCATGGTAAAGACTCAGAAAGAGATGTGATAAAGCGCATTTTTCTCTCTTCTGGATAGCTTGCTCAGGCTTTTGGTATCAAACCATGGAGGTTTTTTCCCCAGCTGAACAAAGAGATGGGGTATAGTTAATAAAAATAGTTCAGCAGAACAGGTTTAGTCCTGCACAAAGTTATGATGCTACAACAGGAAATCCATTCCCTCGATGTGATTAAGGGTTTCGTTCTGTTTTCATTTTTAAAAAAAAGGTACATCAGTTCTCCAAAAATAAATAAATAAAATAAATATTAAAAAAATAAATAATTGGGTATTAATTAAACGAGGTAAAGTAGACCAGTTAGTGTACTCAATTTTTTTTTACACTAAATAATAAGTTATATAATATAAAATAAATTTTTTTTGTTTCAAATTTCCCTTCACTTATTATAAAATTTAAATTTGAGATTTTTATCATAAAAATTCAAAATTTTAACTATTACATCGTTTTTTTTTTTACATGGCATTGGTTTAAACTCTCAATGCCTAAGGAACTTCAGAGCTAGAGGTTGGAGTCTTGGAGATTCAACTTTCATCTAACCTACAAAAATTACCTCTACCTTCTTTTTTCTCTTTATGTTTTCTGTTGCATAACAATAATAATAAAAGGACATGAGATAAATTAATAGTAGAAGGCTTAATTTGAACTTTTATTTAATAAGAAAGGGATGATGGTTGATATTAACGCTTTAAAAAAATAAAGAAAAATTTAGTTTTTTAATGTGAAATTAGTGACAAAATTTTTTTTATTAACGTACATTATAAGATATAATAAT